GTTCTCCTTTTTACTTGGTTTTTTTTTTTCTTTTCTTTTTTTTTTTCTATTTTCCTTTCTCCTTTACTTGGTTCTTTCTTTCTATTTTCTACCGTTCTCCTTTACTTGGTTTTTTCTTTCTTTCTTTCTTTCTTTCTTTCTTTCTTTCTTTCTTTCTTTCTTTCTTTCTTTTTATTTTCTACCTTTCTCCTTTACTTGGTTCTTTCTTTCTATTTTCTACCGTTCTCCTTTACTTGGTTTTTTCTTTCTTTCTTTCTTTCTTTCTTTCTTTCTTTCTTTCTTTCTTTCTTTCTTTCTTTCTTTACTTGGTTCTTTCATTACATTTTGTAGAAGATGATATGCTCTATTCTGTTGACGATGGCTACGTGTTTAGTAATCTCGAATTTATGAGAACATCATGTGTGCTCACAGACGGATTTCATATGTTTTTCTGATTTTATTTTACATCATACTGAATACAGTCTATTTTTTTTTATCATTTCATCCCAAGCAAGACAATAATACCACTAAGACGCAAGGGGTTACTGAGAGCGAAATAAAAAGAGAAATGACAATAAAAGAACAGCATCCAGATAGAAGATGGCGATTGAAGGCGCATTTAATTTTTTTAAGATTGTAGGTGACAGGGAAGCAAGATGCCGGAAGTGAGTTCCACAGGCGAGAATAAAACTTACGGCTACGCGATATGTAGCCGTAAGTTTTAACAGTAAAATACGAGACCTAGTTACCAATCTAGTATTAGGCTTAAATTCATTCGGTCGACGTACGAAGGAAGCTCATTAAATCAATTGCCATGAAAATATTTATAGAAAAGATGGAGGGACGGTACGTAACAGCAGTAGAAAAGTGACTGAAGCCGAGATGTTGGGTCAGGACTGATACAATTATCAGACAGAAAATACAGAGTGGAACCCTGAAGGTGGTTGGCTGTTAACATTGAAAGCTTTCCGGCAACTCCTGTAGCCAAGCCGTCCCCAAATGTAATGCCCTGTATATTTTGGGTCTTGTGGTACGTCGGAAAGAAGGCGTCTATTTAGCTTGGTCATTGTCCATGACTGCTCACTGGAGAGATCTCTCCAATCTTACCACCAAAGTCAGAATTTTGAGCAAACGGCGCTACTTTTATCACACAAGATAAACAGATATATTGCGCTAAAAGGACGTGCGGTTAGTTTGTGGAGTGATTTCACAGGGGAGGCTTCTATTTGTACTAAGTCGGTCCTAAAATAGGTTCGACGTACAAAACGTTAGGAACTTGATATAATAAGTATTACGCAGAGTAATCTAGTTGTGGTCGCTGATACTTTCGTATTCGACTGTCGTCCGACATTGACTGATTGACTTACTCGTTACTCTTACTACTCCTACATATTATAGGTGGGAGAGTCTATTAACTATAGAATAGTTTCACCATAACAGGGTAGCGTAACGGTTATCGGTTCTAAAAATGGAATCGGCTAGCCAAGTTCAAATCTCCTAGTTTGTTACGTTCACGCTGTACTATTGTCCTTTTGAAAGGCATGGACCCTTACAATCCCAAATATGTTTCAGCTTTAAATAACCCACACTAGGTTGATACAAAGCCGTATCAATCAATGTCTATGAATTGTCATGATTTCTTGGGAAAGATAGTGCAATGGCTTTCCGTTGCCTTCTCCACGGTCTGGAATTCTGAGTTTTCCTTCTCTTAGACTGGTTGCCACCCAACGCTAGAGATAATGGATAATTATTCTTTAATCATTTCCTCCTAATCAAGGTGGGAATGCCACGTGTGTGCAGAGGGTTAGAGGGAGTGAAAGTGAAAGTAGACAGAGAATAGGAAGGATTGAGGAAAGGACAGAAGATGAACGGGATTCAAGAAGACAGATGATGGCGACTGATGTTGCATTTAACATTTTCAAGATTGTAGCTATCAGGGAAGCAAGGAAACAGAAGAGAGTTCCACAGAATATGTTACATCTTTTAAAAAATTGATTGGGATGGCTGTATTATCGAGTAGTATTTTATACAAGGGAGTGATTTATTCCCTGAAACACTAGGTCGTACTAAACACAAGAAAATACCGTAGTTTTTTTTTGTTTTGTTTTTTCAAATATTATACATTGGAGCAAATCATAAAACATTTTTTTAATCATTACAAGAAAAATATTTTTCAAGTGTCTAATTCTACCCCTAAAGAGGCGGACATACCTATAGACTAATCAACGCGACGTCAGGAAAAATTCAAGTGTGTGGCCTAGTGTCTGGCTTCTTTCTTCAGACTAGTCGGCCATTTTCTTTTACATCTGCTCGCCTTGCAAGTTTTAATTGCTGAAAGAAAATCACGCCTAACACTGGGTTAAAGAAAAAAAAAAACGGTTAGAAAGAAACAGAGGGGGGGAAACGGAAGAAATGTAGAGAGGAAAACGATGAAATGGGGAAAAAAAGGAAGAAAGAACGGGTAAACTTTCTTTGCCATTTGCTGTCAAAAACATTGGAATGTAAACGAGATTCTACGATACGATAATAAAAAAAAAATTAAAAATAATAAACCAAATAAAAATAAGAATCCCTTTACTTGTAACATTCCATTTGAATTGGCAAGTTAATAAATCATTCGATTTAATTTCTAGTCATGCACTGGTAAACCTGGGATTGAACCAGAAAGAACAGAATCTCAGCTCCATTCAAACCAACGACGGGTTGGTTACGTTCAATAAGACATGTGAAAGAAAAAAAAAAGTCAACGATCTCTTCTCCCCAACCCTAGCTAGGGGCTAAATAGCATGACAGACTGAGTTTTTACCCATGGTTGGCAAACAGTCTAGGAAAAGGACAACTCTGAATCCAAAATTCGGCCATCTGAAGCTTTGCAAAGACAGTTAGACTTGGAGAGTGTATACCATGTCCGCGAAACAAAAACATACTGATTTCAACATCTATGGATATTCCCACTGGAGAGCTATTATCCAGAAGGCCGTTGAAACTAACGGACAGCAGGCCTCAAGGAAGGTTTCATTTGTCTATTAGTACAAAGCTTCATTAAGGTAAACTGAATATTGATGAAGTAATGTCAATGGATAGCGATAAAAAGTAGATGCAACTTCCACAAAGTCTAGGGCTATGATGTACTTATTTCAGGTTTTAAACGCATGAAATATGTGTTTTTAGCGCTTTAAATTTAAAAAAAATAGAGACACAACACACAGTAGAAAACTGTTTTTTTTTTTTTCGGTGGTCAGGGACTTAACGCAGTGAGAAAATTCAAATATCTTGGCTCGATTATCAGTGAAAGGGTCTTTCTTAGAATAGAAATAATTTCAAGAACAGCATAATCAATGACAGATCCCACCTACCCCCACCGGAAAGACAATAACATCTGAAATCAAAGATTAGACTGTTCCGCTCAGGGGCCTTCTCACTCATTTTGTATAACGGCGAAACATAGACATCAACAACAGAATTACAGCGACGAATCCAAACATCAGAAATGAAATGTTACTGAACCATCCTTGGAATCTTCTACATAGACCGCATCACAAATAACGCAGTGCGAGACACAACCGTACGAGAAACAGATCTGTTAGAAGACCTGGTATCCACCGTCAAGAAGAGAGAGTTGAAATGGTATGAACACATCATAGGAGCCGATAATTTTTCCGCTGCCATTCCAGACGGTAAAACCTCAGACAAAAGATGAACAGATTGACAGAGGGGAAGAAAAAAATTGGGCTTCTAACGTCACTGGAAAATCCTTTATAGAGACTCAGACATTGGCACGAGATATAGAGAGAGACCTGAAGGCACCTCGACGTGGTGTAATGGTTAACAAGCTTTTTTTAGCTCGATCCTCACTGAGTGCCGCATACTGTCGGCCTTGTGCCACATGTAAGATACGATTAGAAAATCATTTGGCCACTTCGACGTGGTGTAATGGTTAGCAACCTTGTCTCGCTAGATCAATTACGACTTTTCGAGTCTCACTTGGTACCCTATACTTTCGGCCTTGTGCAATATCTAAGCTACGCTTAGAGAATCACCATATAGAGAGAACTGGTCAGGTCCTAAGCTGCACAGCGACCCTACGGCCACATCCGGTCATGGGACTGAGGATGATGATTTATAACGGTATTGGATTGTAATATTGTAAAGGGATGCAATATAGAATTAACATTGATTTACTGTTTTATTTTTTATATGCGATGACAATATTGTTATTGAGAAGAGATAATAAACGTTAAAATTTGATGGGAAATCTTTCGGGCAGAATACGATTTCATATGTTTGTCAACTGTTGGGATTATAGTATGAAGACAATTCGTTTGTTATGATATCTAACCATTACGCATTAAGCAAATGTATTTGTAATATGCAGTTGCCAAAAGAGTAACATTTTCCTTAGAAGAGAAAAGGTGGACGCACGGAGATAAAAGGTTAAGAAGAAAAGTTATTTTTTAAATGGATGCCGTCCTGGGTATGACGATAAACTACAGCCAGCAGCAAAGCCTCTGATCGGAAGGTTTTTAGGAACCAATTGCAGTATTTCCCAGTTCCACCCTTACACGGGGTAGTAGCACCTGTTAGGGTTTTAACTATGGGCAAATTGTTAACTCTCATACTATGGTCAAAATACTATGAAAGTATAAACAATTTTATAGTAAAAATACCAGCAATACATTTTTGTAAAAAAATATATTACCAACAATACATTTTTTAAAAGAAATTTTTAATGCTCCCAAGAAAATTAAATTATGGCATAAAATGACCCATAAGAAGTTTGTGTGTGTGTGTGTGTGTGTGTGTGTGTGTGTGTGTGTGTGTGTGTGTGTGTGTGTGTGTGTGTGTGTGTGACAGGAAGAGAAAAAAATTGGGGGGTGTAGGGAGTAGTCAGTTTCATTCTTTGGCTATCTGGAGTAAAAATGGAAAAGAGGAAGTGAAAGTAAAGAATTGTAATATAAGAAAAGAAAGAAAGAAAGAAAGATTTCACTCAAACAGATCAAGATGAGTTCTTTAGTCGCAAGTTAAAATTTTTTTAAAACAAAATATGAAAGGAAACGAAATATCGACAGAAAAAATAACACGAAAAGAAATAAAGAATAAATAAAGAAGACAAAAAAAAGGATAAAAAATAGAAATAAATAGAGATATACAAGTAAGAAAGTAAAGGAAAGAAGAGAGATACTCATAATAACGAAATGTAAAAAAAGAAAAAAGACCAAAAGAACGGTAGGAAATAAAGTAATAAAAAAAAGAACTAAAGATAAAGAGGAAATAAAGGGAGAAAAAAAGAAAAGCAGACAGAAAAGAGAAGGACAGACTATAAGTATATGCAAGAAAGAAAAAAAGAACGAAAGAAAGAAAGTGTAAAAACTGAAATTTCGCGAGAAAAAAAAAAGAAAATGTAAAGAAAGAATAATAGAGAAAATGGGAAGAAAGAACGAATTAAAAGACAGAACGATGATAGCAAAAGAATATAAACATTTTTGTCCTTAGACAGAATCGAAATAAAAGAACCCCAGACAGTGAAAAACCGGAATATATTTTTGCCACTATGATAGCCAATCTAAGTAATAGAGAAAGAATGCGTATATTTTTCTGTGAGTGAGTCTGCAATAATCTATGTGTATGTATAGATAAATATGTTGGCAACCAAGGTAGACAGATTAGAGAATACGGAAAGGGAGAGTAAGGAGTAAATGCGGAGGAGAGCAGAACCAGGAAAAGAACGATATGCAATTAAACGAAACTCAAAATATGATATATGGTCCAGCACTTGGCCAAGGCTATCACACCGCGCCGGATATGATGGCCACCTGACCTCCTTCTAGGGTCACTCGAGAAACCTAATCAATATACGATTTGGGCGGATCTGGATGATTGTATAATTACTAATTAAACGGGGATAGCGGCTATAACTCTAGTCGCGTCTGCTTGGCAAAGTACCAACCTGACCTGGGTTCGATCCTACAGACATATCAACCTGCGCTTATATTTTGCCCAATTCTGACTGTTTACTATAGGGAAGGAAAGGTTTGATTGCAAAGTGTTATGTTCGTTGCGCAGGTTTGATTTGGGTTATCAAATTTGTTATACGGATAACCATTAAATATAAGAAAAAACAAAGAATTACATTGGATTAAAATAATGTTTAAAGAAAACAGAGCAATGTTTAATCATCGTGCCCAGAAAAAAAACAGAGTATCAAAAGTACAGCTATCCTTTCGCTAAAATTCTAATCCTCTCTTTTTAAAACAATAAACATTGCCGATGGAATCAAAAGTGTATACAGCAATAGCAGTGCCAAAGGAATAAACATCCTTTTGAATCATCATTCGTTTTTTATGGATACGAAGGTTAAATATTGGCAATTTCTTTAATATAACAATTTGAAAGTTTTAAACCAAATATACATCCTACAGTTTCAATTTAAAAAAATTATTAAACACTTGAATCTGCTTGATTTTAAATCTTTAGTTATTTTCTCCAAAAAATAATTAATTTAGGAATGTTAACAATCTTTTAAAAAAGCAAACGTTTTTAAATTACATATGTAAATAGCTTTACTATTATCTTATCTTTTCTACCATTTTTACCCACTATACTTTTTTATATAAATTTTATAAAAAAATTTTATAAAGACTACAAAATTATCAAAATATGCAATACATATTATTTAACATTTTATAAATAACTATGAAAACAAATTTTTGTAAGGTAAGAACCAGTAAAAAATTACAGAGATTCTGCAATTATACACAAAGAAAACTTCGTCCTACCAATGAATAATGTTAAGTGTTTGTAATTTTACCTAAAATCTAAGATTAAAAGAGTGTTTGGTTCAAAGGAAAAGATGCTCTCAACCTATTTGAGTGAATTTATATGATGAGCACAAATGAGAGAAATATCCAGAAAATGCATTTTTTCAAAATTTATAATTACATTTACTCATTGTTATATGTTTATTTAAATTTTCTTGTTCACAGTGATTTTTATAAATTTACAAATACAAAAATTTCTTTTCATTTATATTTATTTCTTTATAAAATGTTAAATAATAAATATTTCCTTATCGTCGGTTCACATATTTTCATAATCTTGTAAATATATAAAACTATTCTTGTAAATAAGCAATCTTATAAATAAATAGTATTTAATATCTTTGTTGTCAATTTTTAAGAATAAAGAAAATGTATAAATCCACTTTCATAAGTTTGGGTTTTATTAAAATTCTGATCACTTTTTAAAACAATAAACATTATCAAGGGAGACAAAAGTCTATACAGTAATAGCAGTGTCAAGGGAATAACAATCCTTTTGAATAACCATTTTTTTTTGTGGGTATGAAGTTTAAACATTGCCATTTTTTTAATTGGCTTCTTTAATTTCCTCAATCAATCAAAATCAATTCAGTAGATATACAAAAATAGAAAGTGGGTGTAAGACAAGGATGTGTCTTCTCACTGGAATTATTCAACCTATGCAATGAGGAAAATCTGAGAGAATTAGAAGTACTACCAGGATTCATTATTGGTGGCCATAATCTTAACAACAGAAGATATACAGATGACACAGTGTTGATAGCAGAAACAGAAAGGAAACTACAAGAACTCATATTTATGTCTTTATAAAATGGTAAAAAATAAATCTATCATTATAGTTGATTTTGATAATCTTTTAAATAAAAAAAATCTTATAAATAAGCAATCTAATAAATAAATAGTGTTTAATATCTTTGTTGTCAATTCTCAAGAATTAAAAAAAGTATAAATCCACTTTCATATCTTTGGGTTTTATTAAGATTCTAATAATCCTTTTTTAAAACAATAAACATTACTAAAGGAGTCAAAAGTGTATACAATAATAGCGGTGTCAAAGGAATAACCGTCCTTTTGACAAACCGTTTTTTTTTTTGTGGGCACGAAGATTAAAAAGATTAAAAATTGCTGAAAACATTCGATGATATTAGATCAAAAGATGTGAATATATGAATAAAAACCATGATACGTCTGTCTAGTGCAGACGTTTCCAAAGTTTTTTGAGTGGTGACACATTTATGATATTCTTGACCACTTATCGTACAATCCTGTTAAAAAAACGCATGATTTCTCCTTCGATCATCGAAGTAGCGTCGAGGACGGTCAGTACTTCGATGGAGGACTGATTGGAAACACCGGCTACTGTAGGCAACCTCTTGAAACCCGAAAACCCGAAATATGTTTCGGTTTTAACTAATCAATAAAAGGTTGATATGCCGTTAAAAAAAAAAATCAATTACTGATCGTTCACTTTACGTCAGTTTAATTAATAATGGTAATAATGAGGATGGATAAGAAGAAAAAGATTATTTAAAAGAGTCTGAATTAATGAAGGTTGCTTGCATAAATATTGACGATAAACAAAAACTGAAATTAAAATTATGAGAATTAAAGAATCGCCATTACAATATCAAGTTTTATTGAAAATAATGGACTTTTATATAATAAATGAGAATGTCAGTGTGTCACTGTGTCACACTTTTTCAAATTTACACCTAGAAGCTGTAACGTAACATATCATACCATTTTGGAATCAGGCCGACTCCTTGGGAAAAATAAAAAACATTAGGGGCCGGATCCGCACCCACAATCCTGAAATTCTGGATTCCCAATTTTTCATTACTGCGATTCTTTTCGGCGATATTTTAAGTGATTTGTTTTTCTTTTTCTTGTAAGTAATTTTTTGTACCATATCAATTTTTATAACTTGGAAATAAATTTAGGAATAATCGAAATTAATTGCGAATTCCATCGAAAGTCACCCATGAAATAAAAAATAACTGTTTGTCCTGAAATCAAAAAATAGGTGTCTATGTCAAATATGAAGTATCGACTATAATAACAATGGAATATATATATATATATATATATATATATATATATATATATATATATATATATTTTCAATAAATTGTCTACTAACCTGTCACTTACTAACGCCTGATGAGATGTGTTGGGACACATCGAAACATGATTGCATTCATGAAGCGCTTATTCCCATGCTCATGTAATATCCTAAAATAAAGAATACAGCTCTACTTTTGTATTGAGCCCTCTTTAAATTAATGTTACGAACGTTGGAATTTATATTCGATTCCTTATTTCATATATATATATATATATATATATATATATATATATATATATATATATAATAAACTTTTTACCACCTTGTCATATATATATATATAATGACAAGGTGGAAAAAAGTTTACTTCAGGACTTCACCGGACGAAATTTATTATGTTGCTACGACTATCCATGCGCACGAACGAGAGGTGCTGTGAATTTTAGAATTTTAAAAAAAATTCTGGTAGATCTTCTGTTATCACCGTGTGTGATACGTATAAACAAAAGTGATGTGAAGAAAAAGAAAGAGGCTGTAAATGAATTCGGCTAGACATAAGAAATAATAATTCTAAAATCACCAGCACACCTCATTTATGCGCATGTGTAGTCGTATCAACATAACAAGTTTAGTCGGAGGAAGTCCTGAAGGACGAAACGCGTACTAAGTAAACCTTTTCCAATTTGCTATACAATTTCCGCATATTGTTCTCGATATATAAAAATATATATCATTATGTCATATATATATATATATATATATATATATATATATATATATATATATATATATATATATATATATGTGTGTGTGTGTGTGTGTGTCCATATGTTTTCCTGTGTGTGTGTGTGTCTGTGTGAAACCACATGCAACACAAGCGATTAGACAGAAAGTGAAATGCACACAGTGTATAAGTCCACAGACTGACAACAGCCAAGACTAAACATTGCTGTGGCATTTCCGAGAAATATATATATGTGTGTGTGTACACACACACATATATATATATATATATATATAGGGATTGAAGAGTTTCTATTTTTATGTATAATGGACTCTCCTGTCTAACTATATTTACAAGACGAAAGAGCCCATCATATATAAAACAGGAAGTTACTTTTCAATATATATATATAAATATATATATATATATATATGTGTGTGTGTGTGTATGTGTGTGTGTATTATGAATTATTATATTAATTATATTTTTCTGTCCATACTATCCAATAAAAAATAATATATAAAAGATATTCCAATGGAGCACTAAAAAGGACTTGTTCGAAAGTGACTGCTTCAGAATATTCGGAAACCTTTTGTTAAAAATAGGATAAACCGTGGCTAACAAAGGAAATCTTGTGTTACTAAAATGTCACTTGTAACCTCTCCGTGCTTCCCTCTAAAATAAAATAAAGAAGAAAATAAAAACATATTACACAATAAAATGGTTACTTTTCTTATTTTTTCCATTATCTTTCTTGTAAATATATCATTAATCATGTGAAGGCTTTCAACCGAAAAAAAGGGAAAAAGCTCTTCCTCTCTCCCACTTATACATCCTTGCGTATTGTCTCCCCACCACCACCCGCACTAAAAAAAAACAAAAAACTATGCCTGGGTCTTGAGTGTGTTAAATAGTGCTTAGTTAATTGTCTTCAAACTGTGAACTTAATTCATTAATTAGGTTCAAAGGTTGCGAAAAAGCAGAGGAATAAAAGCATTACGGAATTTAAATGTACATACTTTGTATACGGAAGAGTGGATCAATAAGTCTGTAACCTGACACAGTTATAAACTCATTTTTGATGTGGCTATTTTCACAAATAGGAAGGCGTTATATTAATACCCGTATATCGCATTCTGACAATGAGACCAGGGTCGATTTGCCAGGAAGAAGACTTCCTGATGTTATAAACTGGAAGGGTCGATCTCAGCGTGCGGTACCTTTGGAAAGTCCCTGAAAAACATATTACGGGTTGACCAAAGCCTTGTGAGTGAAATTGAATAGACTGACCCTTGAGGGCTGTCGATAGCCTTGCTAGAACGAAGTCACAAATCATCGTGGCCGAGGGCTTGAGTGTTTTGGCCTTG